TCAAGAAAGAGGAACTCTTCTGGTACCAGAGATCCCGCGTCAAATGGCTCAAAGCGGGGGACCTTAATTTTGGTTTCTTCCATAGGAATGCCAACTACAGGAGGAGAGACAATTCCATCCTTTCCTTGAAAAGGATAATGCCATTCTCACCTGTGCAGAGGACATTGAGGTTGCTATCTTAGAATATTTCCAGCACCTCTACACAGCCCCACAAATGAGCCGACCTAGAATGACTTCTTTAGACTTCCGATCTTTGTCAGATCAATCCAATTTGTGGATCGAGAGACCTTTCTCCGAAGATGAAATCCTTGCGGCTATCAATAACCTAGCCAATGACAAGGCCCCTGGACCTGATGGCTTCCCCATCGCACCTTTTAAATTTTTCTGGTCTACCTTCCGGCCTGATATCCTATCCTTTTTCGAAGAGTAATACTCTAGGGGGATCATTCAAAAAGCTATGAATGCCAGCTTCATTGCCCTGGTCCCCAAAGTACCCGGTGCAGATGAACTTAAGGCATTCCGACCTATCAGCCTCATTAATTCCTCTTACAAAATCCTTTCTAAAGTGTTGGCGACTAGACTTCAAAAGGTCCTTCCCTCAGTTATCTCCCCTACACAAACTGCCTTCATCAAAGATAGGCAAATCCTGGACGGAGTTGTCGTGGCTCATGAATGCATCCACTATAAACACGTCCTCAAAAAACTTGGCCTTATCTTCAAGATTGACTGGAAAAAAGCCTACGACCATGTTGAATGATCGTTACTTGATCAAGTCTTATAGAAACTGGGTTTCGGGGATACCTGGAGAAGATGGATGAGGGGCTGAAACCTTCATCCCCACTTCTCAATGATCATCAACAGCTCCCCAAAAGGTTTTTTTCCAGCCTCCAGGGGTTTGAGACAGGGGGACCCTCTTTCCCCTTTCCTCTTCACTATAGTCGCTGAAGTTTTCAGCAGATCCTTTGATCGTGTTTTTCAGGAAGGCTTCATTTCGGGATTTAAAAGTTCCAGCCTGGGATTCGTTGTCTCGCATCTGCAATACGCTGATGACACTCTGATCTTTCTGGACGTGTCACCCTCTGAAGTCAATAACCTTTGGCTCTTCCTCAGATGCTTCCAAGAGGCCACATGATTCAAAATAAACTTGGATAAGTCTAAAATGATGGTTGTAGCCTTAACCCACGAGCAGATAAGAGCCCTTATCCCAAACTGGCCTTGCCTAATAGAGGACTTACCCACGACCTATCTAGGTATTCCTCTTGGTTTAGGTAAACTGAAAAAGGTTCCATGGACCAATGTTATTAAAAAAGTAGACAAGCGCTTAGCAGGTTGGAAAGGAAGATTCCTCTCCATGACCGGGCGAAAGACCTTGATAAATGCCACCCTCACAAACATTCCGGTCTACCTCATGTCCATCTTCCATATTCCAGCCTCAGTGTCCAATAGACTAGAACAGCTATCGAGAAACTTCCTTTGGTCTGGGCAACCTGAAAAATCTAAATTCCATCTTTTATCCTGGGACAAGGTCTGCAGACCTAAATCTCTTGGGGGACTGGGAATTAGAATCCTCAAGAAACACAACCTTGCATTGCTCGGGAAATGGTGGTGGCGCCTTGCCACCCAGCCTGATGCCTTGTGGGCTCAGGTGATTCGTGACAAATACCACATACCTAATTCCCATTGGGTACCTCAACACACAAATAGAGGAAGAGCTTCAGGGTTCTGGAATTCCTTTAAACATTCCCTTGAACCGTTCAAAAAGTTCATTAGGCTGCATGCAAGGGAAGGTTCCAAGGTTAATTTCTGGTCGGACTTATGGCTAGGGCACACACCCTTTAAGGACCTTTACCCCTCCCTTTATGCCATTGCATCAAACCCACTTTCTAAGGTGTCTGATGAAATTGGTCTTCTTGGGTGGGAAAAGAGTATGGAACCCCTCGTTCAGAAGAAACCTTTCCGAGGTTGAAATTCCTTTTTTCAATCTTCTTCTTGCAGCCTTGAATGAAATTAATTTGCCAATCTCTGGTCATGATGTTCTGGTATGGACCCCCTCCTCCTCAGGTAACTTCACCGTGGCCTCTCTCTACAAAAACTGACCCAACCTCCCGCTTTGCATATGACTTTCCACACAGCTACAGTGAAAGTTTGGTCTTCCTTGGCCCCCCCCAAGGGTGCCGTTGTTCAACTGGATAGCATGCCATCAAAGAAACCTCAAAATAGACCAACTGCAAAGGAGGGGAGTGCAAACCCCTAACAGGTGCATCATGTGCGACTCGGAAGAGGAGACCAATGCTCACCTCTTCATGTTTTGCAGCCTGGCGTCTTTTTAATGGAGCAAAGTCTTGCACCTTTTCAACCTCCAATGGGTCTTCCCACCCTCAGTACCTGATTTACAGGGCACAGACTTCAGTTGGCCCTGGCCAAAGGCTGGGAAATCTCTGTGGAAAGCAGCCATGGCAGCACTCTTTTGGGTCATTTGGAACGAAAGAAATAGCAGAATTTTCAGGGGCTGCTACCAGCAGCCAATGGCACTCCTCAACAAGCTTAAGACCCTGGTCACTTTCCGGGCCATTAATTCCAAAGACTTTGTAGGAGTTCCATCTGCATATTTCTTTGACAATTGGCAACTGATTGTAACCCACAAGCCAAGAAGGCCACCAAAACTCAGCTCGTGGCAACCACCCCCAAGAGGGGCCATCAAACTCAATTTTGTTGATGTTCAAGGGGTAACCCAGGGCCATCGAGGGCAGGCGGAGCGTTCCGAGACTACCAAAAAAACCTCCTCTTGACCTACACAGAACCTCTTGGGGTCATGGATGCTCAACATGCTGAGGCATCGGCACTCCTGATAGGATTAAAAAATTTCAACCGTTCTGGGCCACTAATCTGATAGTTGGAGGGGACAACAGAAATGTCATAGCCTGGGCCTCTAAAAAGACTCCACCTCCTTGATACTTATTGCACATTTTTTATGAAATTGAACTTCTATGCGGGGATATCAGCGTCTTATGGACGCATACCTACAGGGAATCAAATGCCCTAGCGGACCTCCTGGCAAATGACGGAGCCCTCATCGCAACTTAATCACGGATCGCAATTTAATCACGGGACAACAAACCACTTTTTGTCCTCCTCTTATTTCCCTCTCTCCCTCAACTTTGTATGCATACTACTCCCTTGTAATCTGGGTGCTCTATAAGCCCTTTTTCTTGCCAGGCCAACTTTTGGTTGTCATAGGAGTTTTTTGTTTGTACATAGGCCGTCTACTGGTCCTGAGTGCTGGGTGGCACCCATTTTTGCGAGGGTTGTCACTCCAACCCCTTGTACTCCTCTTTTATTAATGACAGTTAAAGTTATCAAAAAAAAAAAAAAAGACTTATGTGAAGTGCAATTTAAGGATGTAGGAAATAACTTGCAAGATGAGAAAGATTAGCCCTTTGGGTTTTATAAATAGGATGATGTACATTAGTCATAATACATGGGTAGAGAGATTTAGAGAGAAGGGCTACGTGAAGTTTATTGGTAGAGTCTTAGAGAATATTTAGAGAGATAAATTAGAAAGGTTGCGTGAGAGATCAAGAGGAGGCCATCGAGCCC